GAACTATTGAATCGTATCTCCATTCTCCAACCGTTAAATCACGACTTGACAACTTCTCGCACTAAATGAAGATGTTCCTTTTGATAGATACAAATGACTTCTCAACGGCCCGAATGTTCATTTACCGTAAAAAGGAACACATTTTATTAAAAAAAAAAAACTAACAAGAAAAAAGTCTTATTCTTACAATTTTATTCATATAAATAGATCTTTACAAAATCCTTTTTTTCTTCTATCATATCCTCGCGCAGAAAAACGTTCAAAAAGACGATCTTTTAAACCTTACAAATGACAATTTTCTCTATGCTTTTCCCGTTTTTTTTTATATTTTTGTTACGTTGATTTCACGCTCGACGCAATAGCATCAATATTGACACAGCCAAGGAATAACAATTTTCAATATTTATTTCAACTTAGCCTGCGGTTTTGTTGTATCGCAAAGTTTTTCTCTTTTTTGCGCATTTTTGTAGTTTTGTGCTTCCGGTTTAAAGAAGATTTCATGTAATAAGCACACGCACAGTGTGCATCCTCGCAAAAATTGGTGAATGGCATTGTACAGCATATTGACAATTCTATAGCCGCCGCAAGCAGCCTAAACAAACCAAATCGATTCCAAAGGCATACAAAGAGACAGAGATTTTCGTGTTAGCTTACACCTTCAGACACATTCATACACACATACAGATGGATGTATGTACATGCATGCCAATTTTTCGGCTGAAAGGAAATAATACGTCTAAAACAAGTCGTTTCAGATAAAAATCAAAACAACTTAAATTACAATCCAGCTTAACGGGTATCTTATTGAATGCACATAACTAACTATGTACGTATGTGTGTTTGTTCATGCATAGATATAGCTGAAATCACATTACTTACGAGTCACCAATTTAAAAAAAGTACACAAAGCTGAAAAAGATCATTCATAAAGCCGTTTATCAAGGATACTGAAATTTTTTCCTTAATCTTCTCATCTTTTTTTTTGGGCTCTAGATCGAAAAAAACACAGAATTTTTTTTTATATAATACCCTTGTTCTTATTCTACATTGTACTGAATTTTTTAAATAATTTTTGGAAATAATCATATTTTTTAAATTCCAAAATCCTTTAAAAAAAATCCTGACGCCAGAGAGAAAAATTATGTATGTAGTTTTACTATAATTTTCCCATAGTTTCGCAAATATATTAATTGTTTTGTGTGTTTTACTGTCGCACGGTGTTATGAAATAAGCCTTGTGTGAAAAACTAAGCCAAGTAGAAGGCCGAAGCGCAGGAAATCACCACTTTTTGTTTCGTTGAGTATGGAATGGCGCCATAGTAAGAAAAAATAATATATATAAGACAATGGGTCGTAAAACTAAACAATTGCTTTTTATTAAAATTTCATATCTTTTACTTAGATTATACTTATTTGAATAAATCGAGTAAAAGGTCTGAAATTTTAAGAAAAAGCAATTGCTAATTTTTATTCATACGGCTCAATATGTTAGATAGAGGATAAAATATTGTAATAAACTTTATAAATTTGAATTTTTCAGATTAGTTGTCTCTTTATTGTGCATATCTTTAAGGTAATGTCCGCCGTCTACATAAAATTCAGTTTCGCCTGAGTTTACGCTTTTTTATTTGTTTTTTTAAACATTAGTTGTGTTTTTTTACAAATTATCCAGTAACTTGCCAGCAACTCTCCAGTAACTTTATTTCTAAGAATTCGCTCTCAAAAAAAAAAATTGCAATAAAGTACGCGAACGCTTTTCCAGTAACAATTTGCAAGTTTCATGAACAGCTGATAAATTGGTTGTTTATTCGCAGCAAATTCCTAATAAAACAATATATTTTGTATTTAAATAGGTTTATTTTGTGAGATTCAACAATAAAAACCCACAAACAATTTCCTTATTAGTTTAAATTTCATCCAGCAACATGCG